TGATTGATTGATTGATTGATTGATTGACTGACGGATGGACGGACTGACTGGCTGACTGACTGACTGACCGGATTGATTGATTGATTGACTGATTGATTGATTGACTGACGGACTGGCTGACTGACTGACTGACCGGATTGATTGATTGATTGACTGATTGATTGATTGACTGACGGACTGGCTGACTGACTGACTGACCGGATTGATTGATTGATTGATTGACTGATTATTTGACTGACTGACTGACGGACTGGCTGACTGACCGGATTGATTGATTGATTGATTGATTGATTGATTGATTGCCTGACTGATTGACTGATTGATTGATTGATTGATTGATTACCTCAGGGCTCTCGGTTCCATTACAGAACACGTTGATCCGCTGGATGAGTACCAAACTGTCGTCTGCTCCTAGAGGCTCTAACGCAAATGAAGGAATTCCACACAGGAACTGGCCTGGCAGCCTGTAACATAAACACACGTGAAGCTGTAGGCTAGATTTAGATTTTACAGTTGCTCTGCTTTAGTTGTGATTTGACCAGACCAGCTGCACACCTGATGGGGTTGAAGGATGGGTTCTGATTGTACAGCTGTGTTACGTAGTAGTTGGCTACGTTGGACTGGATCGTCACGGTGCCATTGAGCAGCTGAAGGTTCTCCGGGTTTTCCAAGAACACACCAATCTACAGAACAACACAAGAGCGCCGTTACTGGAAACACTTCTCAGAGATGCTTAAGTCAAGTCACATTTATTTCTATCGTGCTTTATACAGTACAGGTTGTGTTGAAGCAGATTCAAAGAAATAAACAGGAAAACAACAGAATCAGTGATGCAAAATCATCAAATTTGAGGCAAATTCAATTTCAGCGGTAAAGCAGAAGACAATAGCGCAATTATACAGTTCTCATCCGAGAGTGTCGTGCCGTCACGTTAAGTTTCATGTAAACCCAACTAATCAAGCCAAAGGTGAAAGTGGCAAGGAACCTAAACTCCATCAGGGGACAGACGTAGTGCATTTGTTACCTGGTTAGAAGACACAAAGGAGTTGAGGTCAGACAGATTGACGTATCTGATGAAGACGCCAATGTAGCTCACAAGCCAGTTTGTGGAGTTCAGCTGAGGATCGGAGGCGTTATAGCAGCGCGGTGAGCCACCTGTACACACACACACACACACACACACACAATGTAAACATACACACATACTACAGCTGAACAAGTCTGGATAGATTGAGAATCACTTTTTTTTTTAATAGAGATCACAGTTCTCCCACAATTCTGTTTTCTTTTTTGTTTTCATTATATTCATTTGAACAAATTAACGTAAAAAAATATGTTTGAATGAATGATTCAATGATTCATTTGTAAATACTTCACTTGGTTCATTACTAGAAGAATCAGTGTTTTTGAACAAACCTCTTGAATGAATGATTCAATGACAAACACATTTTTAACAGTCACTTGTCGCCACCCACTGGCATAACAATGTAATCAATACAATCTTTATAAAAAGCGCCAAATTACTCTTCAGAAGGTGATTTACTGTATATAGACATCAGTATTTCTATTCAAACTATAAACTTTTATCCCAGTACTTCTGTGATTATTTGAATGTTTCTAACACAGAAATAATAATACTGCGTGGCTGAAAAGACTGTTTGTGAAGCGGTTTCACATCTATACATTAGAACTGCTCTCTCTGGGTCAGGAGATATAAATGTTCCGGTTTACTGTACTTGTCAAATGAAATATAAATACAAAGTACATATTCTTACCATTTGTGAGATACACCTTCATGGAGCTGTAAACATCGTCTGGCGTGAAGTCAGTTCTGGAGAAGTTGTAGTTGTTTCCAAGAACTGAAACACTACACACACAGACAACTGCTTAGTATAATGTGAGGCGCTTTTTTTTTTTTTTTTTTAAATCAGTCTCCGTGGAGGTATTTAATGATGTGTGAGCGCTCACAGTTTCCTGTAGGACAGACAGGCGGCGCTACTGAGCTGTGCGGGGCTGATGAGCTGCGAGCTGAGCAGAGGCAGGTATCGCATGAGTCGATGGTCAAACCACTGATCCACCTCAGACTGGATCTCCAGCTTCAGAACTCCAGGCCAGACGCAGGACAACACCTGCCGGGCCAAACCCACGGATCCCAGCGGCTCCTGCGGGACAGAGAGAGACGGAAAGCTTAACACAGAGACTCTGAACCGCAGAGATGTGATCTTCAGTGTCAAGGAAAAATACTAAACCTCCTTCAAAAAAATATAAATACACCATTTTTGTGCTCAAAACAAGTACTGCACTGAGGGTACTCATCAGGCAGCTCAATAAGCAGCTACCTTTACACAGCACGCGAGTTTCCATTCCAGGTTTTCCTATGTAAACGCACTAGACGGATGTGTTTAACTATTGCGCTCCAGTCTTTTGCACCGTCTCGCACATGATACGATGTTCTAAAAGCACAGCGCTCATGATAAAGGTTTTAAACTTTTAAAAAATCTATCTCGAGACTGTGTTACTTCCCCAAACGGTGACATCGCACTGTGAAGCAGATATAGGATCTGACTAAAGGCTGGAATACACCATACGGCTTCTTCCCAGACTTTTGCGTAGCTGCAGAAAGTCAGAGCCAGTCTGCAGGTTCAAGTTAACAGATTTCACAGAGAAAGTGTTGTGTATGATGGATTCTAGCTTCAGACTCTGATCCCATTCAGTTAGAGGACGTCAAATACATTTGATATTTTCAGACAATTTAAAACACATTTTTTCATGCAACCCGTTTGTTTTGTCATTTAGTGTGTGATGACCAGTTTTTCTCTGAAAGTGTATGATGTCTAGTGTTTTCCTATGTTCAGATTTTAAGTCACGTAGTGTTTTCCAGCCTTTACGCTCACAGCTGCAGAAGAGAAACACAGAAGAACGAGAGGGGAAATGGGAGGTGAGACAGGCCAGACTCAAACCTGTACAAAACAATAGCAAATCTTTTTTCCACATTTTAAGCACTGAATAATATGAATACGATTCTTAAAATCTCTCAAGTCTATCTGGCATCTTGAATTCTTTTCCACTGAGCTTGTTGCAATGAACTATATCCACATCCAAAGGAAATGTGCATTGCTGCCTTTGATTTTGGCCAAAACGAGGAATCTTGCATGGCAACATAACTGTGCCGTCTTCACGTCAGGAGTCTGCCTATGATGTAAGCACACTAGGTAGACAGCTAGCGTGTGCTGGAACACAGCTCAAGGGCATCTGAAAGACCTACCGTCTCCAGATAGCGTGCGGTCTGGTTGTACTGGCTGAGCAGATGGCAGAGTCCCGACCCGTCTCCGAGCGTCTGAGGCGCGTTCAGGAACTCGCTCAGCTCGGCTGTAGAGATGGAGCCCAGCAGCTGCGGGAGGAAACGCACAGATCAGAAGAGCTGCGATGGAAAGAGATCGAGCAATAGAAGAACGCTGATGTACCTCAGGCCTCCTGTCCACAGGGATCAGAGACTGGAAGGTGTTGAGGTCTGGAAATCCAAACTGGAGGAAGAAAGACTTGAGGAAGAGGTAGAAACTGCCACTGACATAACAGCGAAGAGGAGCATCTGCAGGAAAAAAATAGACAAACAAACAAACCAACCATTTTATATAAAAACAATATTTGAAAAACTCTGGTTATGCCTAAGTTGTACTGTTCTTTAAAACAAAAAGCAAACATTTAACCCCAAATAAAATTCTCTAATGTTGTTTACTTGTTTGCCAGAGTGTCAGTGAAGGACACACTATATGCTAAATCTAAGACATTATGGCAGCACTTTACAATAAGATTCCATTTGTTAATATTAGTTAACTACATTAGTCAACATGAACTAACAATGAAAAAAATACATCTAAAGCATATATTAATTGTAGTTTGTAGTTTCAACATTTACTAATACATTATCAAAATCACATAATTAATGTGTGTGTGTGTGTGTTTGTGTGTGCGTGTGTGTGTGTGTGTGTGTGTGTGTGTGTGTGTTTGTGTGTGTGTGTTGCTCGAAAATACAGTTTGTACAGTATAAAAACCATTACGCCTATGGAGAGTCCCCATAAACCACAAATGCAAGTGTGTGAGAGTGGGTGTGTGTGTGTGTGTCACCTGTGAGTAGCTGTTGGATGTTGTTATAGATCTGACGTTGTGTGTTTTCATCCAGAGCCGTTCTTTGAGAGTCCAGTACACTGATGCTGCGTCACAAACACACACACACACACACACATTGTTTTACTCTGCGTTTATGCTATTGTCTGTGTTTATTGTCCATGTTTACTGTTGCCATGCAATGCACTAAAAATGGCTATAAATCGACTTTGACTTTAATGAGTGATCGAATCATCTGAAAACCGCATGAATATTTTCTCACTACAACTGAGCAAAAACACAGTCTCTTACGCCTCCTGTTTGACACTGCAGCCTCGAGCCCTGACGATGTCGAAATACACCGTAACGTCTGCTGAGCTCAAAGCAGACAGCAGCGGCCTAAGTCGAACCGTGAGCCAGACTGACAGCTCGGAATCACTGACTGAAGGAGACGACAGATCGCCTCGCACAAACACTGTCTGCAGGAAGGCCTGCTTCACCTCCACAGAGTAGCCCTGTTCATTCACCTGCACAGAAGACCAAGACAAGACAAGAATGAGGCAGGAGGACAGATGGACATAAACAAATGATAAGGATATTCACAGCTGCAGATAACAAATCCACAACGTACTTGGATGTTTGGAGAAAGAATATCAAAAAACTCTGAAAGCGTCTGCGTTTGAAGCTCATTCATCACAGTCTGAACATCCGCTGGTCCGCTGAGACGTGACGGGTCAGAGCAAAGCTCAGCCAGCTGGGACACAGTCAGAAACTCTGCCACCTCGACCTGACCGAGAGACAGAGAGAGAGAACGGATCAAATGAAGACGTTACTGCAGGCGAACAATCTCCCAGCAATTACAGCAAAATTCATCTTTCAGAATCCAACTACTAATCAATATCATCAAAACTATCCATGTATCCATCCATAATGTTTTTTATATAGTTATTTTATGTTATATATGTATTTATTATTTTTTCTAAATATTATTCTTATTCATTACTCAGCATCTTATTTTAATACATTTTATATATTATATTCTTATTTTAATACATTATATATATATATATATACAATTATATGTAAACCAAATATACAAAAATATTATAAAATTTATTTAATGTTTTAATTAAACATTGTAATGCACTTGTTATATGATCTCATGAGTAACTGTAACCCCAGTTATATTACATTAGAATATTTATCTATTCATTATTACGCCTTTATTAATGTAATTCATTAAAATGCATGATAAACAACCAATTCAGATGTAAAAAGGAATCTGCAAACATTACAATGCATTTTAACTTTGGTTACAATTATTTATGAAAACACATAATACATTATAATGAACATTGTGAATCCCTTGATAATGCTTTATACATAAAGGCTTCAAATAAAGTGTTATATTGCATATTGATTCTTCTTGTCACTACCTGTTTTAGCGATAATTCTTTGGCAATGTTGTACTGACAATCATGCCAATAAAGTATTCATTTGAAAATGCAGTAAAAATTGTGTGTCTGAGTGTGTGAGAGAGTTATAACCGCACACAAACTGCTGTCTCTCTGCTTACCCCATTAAAATCTCTCTTCAAGCTGATAAAGTCAGTAAAGTTGGCGATGAAGCGGAACCATCCGAAGTTTTTCAGCAGCCAATCAGAGTCACTGTTAGTACTCTGCACACAGGAATCTATGAAAAGATCAGAAACGCGTTATTTAACACTTGTTTATGCCAACACACACACACACACACACAGAATCACTCTCACACACACACACACACACACACACACTTTGTTTTACGGGGACACAGGAAGTGTCCTCATAAACCATGTTTACGTTGTAGTACCCATTTCATTATACACATTTGTGTCCTCATAAACCATATATAGCTGTACACACACTCACACACACACACACACACACACACACAGACACACACACACACACACACACACACACACACACACACACAGAGACATGTTACCTTGGCTGGGCTGATGGAAGAGATAGTCTCGAGTGAAACTGTAGACGTACTTCGTCTGAATCGGTGTGAGACTGCTGAAAATGTTATCACAGCCTTTCACGCTACAAACACAAGAATAAATCAATGACTGGATGAACTACAAACGTTTTGTCAAACACAGAGGTCCCCAGATATTGCTGTTTAGAAACTACATCTCTGCATAACCCAGAACAGACACGTATCAAAGAAACACAAAATAATATTAGTAATCATCTGTCCAAATCATGGTGTCCAAACAGACTTTATAATACTGTAATACTGTTTATTACTGTGCATTGTGTGAATTTTCAAGGAGCAAACGCCCACCGTAATGATTCTCATAAAGTGAAAGCCCTAGAAATGATTGACTGACCATGGCCATTGCACTGATGACTGAACTAGACTAAGACAGACCTGGGTTCAAAATAGCTGCTCAACACTGCCCTAAAATGACTGCAAGCAAAAATTGGATGCAGATTTTTGTGGATGAAAGGTGTCTGCTATACAAAAGCAGCCAGTGCTCACATTTCTCTGTAAGAATCGCAGCTGATGGTCCTGGGGATGACAGAAAGGCTATCCGGACCGATCCCAGGGAGGAAAATGTGCAGGTACGACTGGAACCATAAAGCAAACGTCTGCGGATCGAAGGTTTCAAATCTGTTCGCCAGGTCCATCAATGTCATGTTCAGAATTATGCTGCTCACAGCAGTGCTGATGCTTGACACGTTTCTCTGAAAACAAACAGCACACAGCACTGAAATGTCACATATACTCTTGAATAGCTGAATATGGAAAAGACAAATCTTGTGATGTTCCAGGAAATCCCTTATATGGACAAATATATTCAGCTATCACTTTAGCTGAACAGAGACATTTTGAATGAGGAAACATGAAGACAATGAACACATGATTGCAACAATGTATGGTTTAACAGTGTTCTTCAAGCCATCTCAGGTATTTTCATAAGAATAAAGTATATTTATAATGTAAATCTAATCGTCATAGCCATGATCAATGTAGAGAATACTACAAAATAATACATTTATTTTGAATATCTGAAACACCATTTATTTGGTAAAAAAAACAAAAAAACAAACAAACAACAAAACATGATATGAACACTAAAGTCAGCACCAAACATTCCCACCTGTGCAGACATGCTGATAAATTTCTCAAAAAAATCATCCAACTGGTTCTGGTCTGGAGAGTTTACAACAGATCCAAACAATTCTCTAACAGCAGACTCATCATCCACCAGACCTGGTGTCAAGATTTGCTCCACCTTCTGTTCACCAGTTAGAGAGCCAAACACGGCTTCCTACGTAGCAAGAAAATGCACTGTTACTTCTGTTAGGGAAGGATTCAAGATCATCACTGCACACAGAATTTCTGGCAGCAAGAATAATTTGAACTCTGTTTTACCCTAGAGATGTTGAATTCTGCCAAGTCAGAATAAGGCACATAGCTGAAAAACCGACCAAGGTTCAGAACCAGCCAGTCAGTGTCATTTAGGACACCCTGTTTGCAGGCTACAGAATTTAGAAAAAAGCATTGCATTGTTTAAGTTATTATGAAAACAACAAAGCTGAGTGTTGATATTCATTTAGATTCATTCATTTAGCAGGCATAGATTTTAAAGCAAATTACAAATGTGAATGATGCAAGGAGACATACCAGGTTGACTGATCTGGTGCACAGACTGTTTAAGGTAAACTACTAGATTTGCAGCAAGTTCCTCTCTTCTTTTGACAGGTACTTGTAAATAAGCCAAATTCAGTCCTCTAACACTGTGAACAACATGAGAGTCACTAACATCCTGATTCTCTTGACATCTCTTTAATAAATATTTACCATATAACATATGATTTAACCCTTTTAGACAGCAGATCATCTTTATAAAAACAAACTGAAAAGCAATTTGTGACAAAAACCACTCAAACAAAATAATCAAAGATATGTCCTTAATATATATTTAACCTGTCAAAATTACTCTTAGGCCTGAGTAGTTAACCAGCAAATAAAGGCTACTATTCTACTGAAAGAGCTAGTTTTAAATCAAAAAATTTAAAGAAATAATATATAGAATCACTCACATCACATGGTAGTTGGTGCAGTTGATGTCAGCTGTGAC